ACTAAAACAGAGAATGGGCTACATTTAAAAATAATTGCCTGTTTCACGAAGGTCTCCCAAGCTTTCATGTGGCTAGAATCGCAGTGCTTCGCCCGCGTGTGTGCTGAGTGATTCTTTGAGCATGATCTGGCGGGTAAAGGCAGGCTCGTTACTCAGACAGAAGACTGAGTCATTACAAAACTCTTCTCTGGGCGCAGTCACCTTCGTATTTATCCTAGGTATACAGGTGTTGTTGGTAATAAAAAAAGCTGACAGACTGGCAGGTTCCGCAATATTTGCAGATAGCCGGCCCATGGATCAGATCACGCAAACATTATCAACGCCATTAGAGGAATAGAACGTTTCTAGGTTTCTGGAATCAGCGTGTCCACATCACTGCTAAGAATGCGAGAATTTGGAGTAAATATCGGCACAGCCAAGCATGAGAAGCACACTGGACGCACACGAAGTCTTGTCAACCAGTAAAGGACTGTCACTTTAACCGCAGGACGCTGGGGAATATGTTGAAGAGAAAATCTGAGCACCTATGGGCGTGTCAGGAGTGACGTGAAGGTAATCCAACTCATAACTCAGGTGAATGCATGGCGTCCATGTCCTTGTGAAATTTTAAATGTAATGGTTTCATTTAGAATGTTTAATGTTGAATTGAGAATCAACATCATAGCATTCGGGACACCCCCATAAGAGCTCCGTCCCCCATCTTCAGCAGCAAACGAAGAGTTTCAATTCCGATGGCATTAGTAATTGTCTGATTGTAAATTTGTCTCGCCTCCCCGAGCCTCCCTCCACTCCCCCACACCGAGTGTTGCTCGTCGGCCAGATCCCCTGGTAACTCCTCGCAGCGCCATTCTTCTCAGACCGTAATGATCTATTCGTGCCTCCTCACTGTTAACTCGCTCCCAGAGGGCCCTCAAAACATCTAGCTCGTCATACATCAATTCACCACTAAGAGGTGCAGAACCGGCCAGTCTATCTACTGCTCATTTCCCAACACACCGGCATGAACCTGCAGAGAATATCCAAAGGATGCTAACTACCCCTGACCTCTGAAGTGACGCTTGCCATTCTACACGGAAAATACCTGTCTTCCTCTTTCTCAACATGCTTTGCGAGTCAGTGGCACTCACGGCATGTGTGTACAGCTGATTCTCAAGCCAGCGGAAGCAGCAGAGACTGCATCCACATCCATTCTCAAACTAGACGTTGTGATATCATATGCCAGGCGTTGTTGCTATTCCCCTGTTTCATTCATTTATTTCCTTCTTGTTAATCAATTGTTATTGCAGTACGCACCTAACGAGATACATCGAAATATACGAAGCGATAAATTGTGCAGTCTATTCTTTTGTCTTCTTCATTCAAATTAACAACGGAGGAACATTGCTTAAGTTCGTCTTAATGTTTGTGACTGTGGTACTGCAAAACTGACTTTGTATTTCTCGTTTAGACAGACATTTGTTCACAAGGTCTGAATGTTTTCTGTTCATATTTGCTGGGCATCTTGTTGTTCTTGTATCAGATATTGTTAAATGTTACGCTCGTGTTGGTAGTATGTGTGGCTGTATTCTTTGAAAAAAAGGCAATTAAAACCTATTAATTTTGTTCCCTGGCGCATTCAAGACAAGCTGCTGCTCTCAGTCGGCCTCGCGTGGCTAAGTCTGCGGCTTTCGTCGGGTATCTCATCTCTAAACTGTTGATTTTTCGTATTTAAGCTTTTGATAGTGTTTCAGTTTTTCACTGGCAGCTTGGAGTTAGTATCAATATGCTACTGATAATCTGTTGCTTTGCGGACAAAGTTATGTTTAGATCGCAGCTGTGCCAGTGTCTGGTTAAGCAACACGGAATGGACGTGATCAGTCGTTTTACTTTTGTGGAGCCATTGAAGAGGAGATGGGAGCATCTATAGACCTGTCCGGAGTGCTGTAACGATAGTCCTCATTAAAGACTTAAGTTGGTTTCAGCAGTGGTAACGGTGGTGGCCGTTCGCGTGGCAACGACAACATACAATTTCCTGGTCAAATCATTAACGGCCAGCAAATGCTGGATTTTTTTTCTTCAGACCCCCTGTAAAGGATACTCAGGTAGTTTCTATTTTTGATCTAGACTCTGAAAGGATGTTTTAAAAGAAAAAATCATATACAAATCTTCTGTTTCTCCTCTGTTCGTCCGAGTGATGTAATTGTTTGCAGTAATGCTACGATACTGGCACCTTGTGACGATACACCCGACTTTCTACACAAAGATAGACTGTTTTTCAAATCTGAAGAATGCAAAATCGATGTTTATCTAATGTCGATTGATTTATAAAATTATGAATACATAATGTCTGTGATCTATACAATTATGAATACATAAACGTATGTCTTTGAATAATACAATTATGAGTTCATAAACGTATGTCTGTAATGTATACAATTATGAGTACATAAACGTATGTCTGTGATGTATACAATTATGAGTACATAAACGTATGTCTGTGATCTATACAATTATAAGTTTATAAACGTATGTCTGTAATGTATACAATTATGAGTACATAAACGTATCTCTGTGATGTATACAATTATGAGTATATAAACGTCTGTCTGTGATGTATACAATTATGAGTACATAAACGTCTGTCTGTGATGTATACAATTATGAGTTCATAAACGTATGTCTGTAATGTATACAATTTGAGTACATAAACGTATGTCTGTAATGTATACAATTATGAGTACATAAACGTCTGTCTGTGATGTATACAATTATGAGTACATAAACGTCTGTCTGTGATGTATACAATTATGAGTTCATAAACGTATGTCTGTGATCTATACAATTATGAGAACATAAACGTATGTCTGTCATCTAAACAATTATGAGTACATAAACGTATGTCTGTGATGTATACAATTATAAATACATAAACGTATGTCTGTGATCTATATAATTATGAGTACATAAACGTATGTCTGTGATGTATACAATTATAAGTACATAAACGTATGTCTGTGATCTATATAATTATGAGTACATAAACGTATGTCTGTGATGTATACAATTATAAGTACATAAACGTATGTCTGTGATCTATATAATTATGAGTACATAAACGTATGTCTGTGATCTATATAATTATGAGTACATAAACGTATGTATGTGATGTATACAATTATAAGTACATAAACGTATGTCTGTGATCTATATAATTATGAGTACATAAACGTATGTCTGTGATGTATACAATTATAAGTACATAAACGTATGTCTGTGATCTATATAATTATAAGTACATAAACGTATGTCTGTGATCTATATAATTATGAGTACATAAACGTATGTCTGTGATGTATACAATTATAAGTACATAAACGTATGTCTGTGATCTATATAATTATGAGTACATAAACGTATGTCTGTGATGTATACAATTATAAGTACATAAACGTATGTCTGTGATGTATACAATTATGAGTACATAAACGTATGTCTGTGATGTATACAATTATAAGTACATAAACGTATGTCTGTGATGTATACAATTATAAGTACATAAACGTATGTCTGTGATCTATATAATTATGAGTACATAAACTTATGTCTGTGATATATACAATTATGAGTACATAAACGTATGTCTGTGATCTATACAATTATAAGTACATAAACGTATGTCTGTGATCTATACAGTTATGAATACATAAACGTATGTCTGTGATATATACAATGATGAATGTAGAAACGTATGTCTGTGATATATACAATGATGAATGTAGAAACGTATGCCTGATGAGCCAATGACTCAAAGATTTCTGTTTTTATCTTCACGATTCACTGAGGGAAAAATGTGAAGCTTTTTTATTAATGCACCTATCTTGTTGTTTCTCTCTCTCTCTCTCTCTCTCTCTCTCTCTCTCTCTCTCTCTCTCTCTCTCTCTCTCTCTCTCTCTCTCTTTTTTTTTTTTACCCCTCCTCTCTCTCTTTCTTTACCCCTCCTCTCTCTCTCTTCACCCCTCTTCTCTCTTTCTCTCTCTCTTTCTTTACCCCTCCTCTCTCTCTCTCTCTCTCTCTTTACCCCTCCTCTCTCTCTCTCTCTCTTTACCCCTCCTCTCTCTTTTTCTTTACCCCTCCTCTCTCTCCCTCCTCTCTCTTTTTCTTTACCCCTCCTCTCTCTCTCTCTCTCTTTACCCCTCCTCTCTCTTTTTCTTTACCCCTCCTCTCTCTCTCTACCCCTTCTCTCTCTCTTTAGTTTGCTTATTGAACATACAGTAAATACTTTAATTATTGAACATACAATAAACAGTTTATTGAACGTTTTCAGTATCAGAAAATTGTAATTAAACACTGTCTATACTAAAGTTGTTTTAGAGTAAGACATGTTAGTCTGATATTGTTAAAATAATATATATATACGTTGACATAATCTGAAATAATAATTATGCTAAAATTGGCAGCACAGCAGGAGCTGGGACATCAGAAGTTCAGAATGGCCAACTTAATATAAACATGGCACATAAGAAGCCTTCTAATTATCAGGCCTGTTATCTAAACTATTTCTAGACAACCCTCCGGGCTACTGTCGGCTGTCAGGCCTTATAAATCAACACCGTTAACAAGCTAACGAATTTAAAATACCAACATTTACATTCAAAATTGAAACTGTCAGCTCTACTTTGTGAATATTGATGTTCTTGCAGTCAGCGAGGCACCGTGGTTTTCCTAGATGAAACGTCCATATTAAGGTATAAAAGTCCCGTTCCACCTTGGGACACACGTTTTTGTTTTGTTAGAACCCCTTAATGGCTGTCGTCCGAGGGCCTAATAATAATCTAATGGTTAAACGGGGTTTCTGGGACTTGCATCCAAGGGATTCTCTTGCGAATTATGACACTTTGTGTCACCGGATGTAAGTCGCTCGTTGTGTGGTCCCTTCCGCCAGGTCCTGTATACATACACTGTTAACAAGTTATAGAATTAGAAATACAAGCATTTTCCGTTCACAATTTTACAGCTCTACTCTAGTTTGTGAATGTTGTTCTTGCAGCCAACGAAGGCACCATGGTCTCCCAGATGAAACGTCTGCCTCTCATAATATCTTCCTTCGCTGAGGGTTGTAGTGAAAAGCTCAGATAATTCTTCTTCTCCGAATCAAACGGATGCCACACGACATTGCTTCTCTCTGTCAATGTCTGGACAGCATTTCTGCGGATATATCAAAAATCCTACAATAAGAGAGACATTGGATTCAAAGTCGACGTGAAATCATAAATCCATATACAATATCGATATGATGTCATTTTAAAATGTAATTTTGTAAAACGTAAAGGAATAATTTGAATCATTCAATAACACGATGAAATAAAGGGAGGGGTGGGGGAGTAGATAGTTAATGCTGAAGTTAAGAGGATCGAATTTAATACATTCAGTATCGGTATGTGTACAGCTGGCCTACATTCATTCACAAGCCACCCCGAAATGAGACATAATTTTTTTATACATGCATATATATATTATATATATATATATATATATATATATATATATATATAATATATATATATATATATCATCAGTTCTCGTTATGCCTAGTGGCACAAGAGGCTTCAGAGAGGACTTTCCATGCTTTCCTGTCCTGTGCAATCTTCAGTGCAGTTTTCCATGTCAAAGATGCCGCACTCAGGTCACTTTCCATCGTTTTTCTCCATGTTCTTTTTGAGCGCCCCTGTTTTGTCTTTCCCTCTGGTGTCCATGTGAGAGCTGTTTTGGCAGGTATATCAGGATTCATTCTCATAACATGGCCAAGCCATTTCGATCTTCTCTTGGTTATCATATTGTCTAAAGTTTCTTGGTTTGTGACTTGAAGTAGTTTAGTGTTTGAGATTGTATCTGGCCAGAACATTTTGATAGTTCTACTTAGACATGTGTGGCGGAAGGTAGACAGCTTGTGTGCATCCTTTTTGGTCATTTTCCAGCATTCCGCTCCATAAAGAAGAACTGGCAAAATGATGCTCTTGTAGAGTCGGAGTTTCGTTCCTCTGCTGTAATTGTTGGATTTCCAGATTTGCCTCATCCTTCCAAAAGCAGCTCTAGCTTTGTTCAGACGTGACTGTATGTCCTCTTTGGTCCCTCCCGGCAGGGACACCACACTGCCAAGATATGTGAAATGTTCTACATTTTGAAGAGTTTGGTTATTTATGGTCATTGATTGTTGGTTTGGACTGCTTGTCATGATCTTAGTTTTCTTTGTATTTATTCTCAGTCCCACCATTTCTGCTGTGCTGTGTAGTCTGTTACTTTTTTCTTGTATATGTTCATGTTAATGTGATATCATCTGCAAAATCAAGGTCCTCAAGCATGGTGAATGGAGTCCATCGTATGCCTCTCAATGTCCTGTCTACTGTGTTCTTTAGTATCCAATCAATCACAAGGTTGAAGAGGAGAGATGACATAACACATCCCTGTCTTATACCTGTCTTTACTGGGAAAGATGTATTGTAATTTTTTATACTGCAGGAAAAGTCTTTATAGAAGAGAGCAATTATGTTGACTATTTTTTCTGGAATTCCATAATATCGTAAAATTTTCCATAGACTGTCTCTATGTACGCTGTCAAAAGCTTTCTCAAAGTCCACAAAATTAATATATATACTTCTCTGCCATTCATTGCATTGTTCTAAGATGTTACGTATGGCGAAGATGTGTTCAGTTGTTCCTCTGCCCTTTCTGAATCCTGCTTGTTCTACTCGTAGGCATTTAAACTAGGTTCGTTTCACTGCTGCGCCCTTCAGTTCACGGGTGCAATTTTTTATGGAGATCTCTGTGCATCGTCACCGGAGCTACGGAGTTCGTGCTCTGCGCGGCGGTCTCGGCAGGCGGCTAGCCGTTCTGCGGAGAGAGACCGAGCCGTATTTGATGAAATCCGGTGCAATGAAGTCGATCCTCTTGACTTTGACTTGGTTAAACGAGGTTTTGGGGATTTGCGCCTGGGGAATTCTCATCCAAATTGCAGCACTTTGTGTCACCTGCTGTTTAACACTTGTTGTGGGGTTAAACGTCATTTACTCACTGGTAAACGGCTGGCTGCATACCCAAAATGTCGACGATTCCACCGGGCTCTTTGTATTTTTCGTACTGAACAACGCGTCTTGAATATACCACTTCCAGGCTTGAGTCCAACGGCTTGACGAGTTCAAAACAGAGTCCCCCGTGACAAAAACAGAGAAGGGGAAAAAAAGTAAAGAAAAGAACTAGACATTATCTTATTACTTAAATTTGAAAATAGTCAGTTCCTATACTCAATTTTTTAGGAGCGTCTATGGCTTAGGCGTTGCGAGTCCGACTCGAAATTCCAACGTAATGCGATCGAAACCAACTGTTGAATGAGTGGGTTTTTATCGTGCTATAGAGCGTCGCAGGTCGACCCAGCCTAAGATGGGTACCAGGATGTATGTCATTGGGAAGTAAATACGGCCAGCGTAATGCTGACCACATTACCCACCTAGTGCTGAATGTTCTGTAAAAATATGGTTACTCTTCCAATATGCCCGATGCGCCTAAAAGGCGTGAAAAGTGGATCTTTACTTTTCTATACTCCCTTTCTCTCATAGGACTGCAGACTTTAGCAGACTGATGTAGCCTCTGAGGGTATCCTAGGCGTAGAATTTGTGGGGACTGAGCAGATAGAGGACAAAGAAGATGGATATTAGTCATATCGCGAGGAGAAGCTGACACAGAATCACCAGACAGGAACACTCAAATGAAGCATAGGCGTACAAGAGAAATCATGTGACGAACGTTGATGAAAGAGGCCTAAGGAACCTGGCTGGGTGTATCCAAAATATAGAAAAGATTCCAAAGTATATAACAGAATATTTCCGTGTGGGTTTAGGGGCCCCATTGTGGGGAAAACAAGAACAGACCCACTGCGTACTCATAAATGGTATGTCGTAAGAGTCGACTAATTGGCAGCTTCCTTCGAAGTCGGAGCGCAAGTGCCCAGCGGCAAGGAGCAACGAACTGAACACAAATAAAGCAGTGAAACGGATGTACACGCAAAACTCAGGCCCTGGCACAAAGCCAGAGTCAAATGGACGAAAAACAAGACTTTCCGCCGGAGCTTACATCTTCCGGTGAACAAAGTAGAAGAACAGAATGGATGAATCGACTGCTAGTATTCTGTGTCGTATAAATAGCATAATATTCTCTCTTTTTGCCGTCTCACTGATACTAGGTTGCAGGCCAGTGTCGTAGTTTTCTATATTTGTCTTGTGCATATTATGACAATAACAATTCACATACTCACCCTGTTTTAATAAAATCGATCACCAGATCAATAAAACTTCTTTTCAGCTGGATGTCTTCCGCATAAAAGCTGTCGTTAATGACAATGTTGTAAAAATGTTCCACAAACTCTTTCATTTCTAGGTCAAACAGATAGGCCAGCTCAAGGGAGTGAAGCATGTACTGTTTGGGCACAAACTTTGGAAAGTGGTCAAATGAAATCAGATAGGCATTCGTCCCTGGTTTGACGCGACCTACATTCTGCCCAGTTGCAAAAGCTTCAACGAAATCCAAATCAGTCTTCAGGAAAAGTGAATCACTGCCTACTGCGACCAACGCCCTTTCTTCATCTCCATATAACTTCACGTACTCGTCCACAATTCTTACCATGATATTCAGTGGTAATGACAACAAAGCAGAAAAGAACTTGGCGCCATTTTCCAGCAATGGCGGTTTTATCTGACCAAATCGGGAATTCACTAAAATGTATCCATCATCAGCCGTGATACTAACGATGTTATCTCTGTCGAAGAATCCAACCGCTGATAGATAATCCATGTCAGCCAGTAGCTTCGCGAAAGGGCCTTGGAAGAATAGCATCACCTGAGGAAGTTACTGCAGCGAGATTCGGAAATCCTAGTTCGTGAACAAAAGCTTCACCTGGTAGTTGTTTCAGACAGGTCAGGACGGCATCTTCACGGTCACTGACAGAACCAGGCCCACACCCGAACTTGTCAGCTGCTAGTTGTAGGAAGTCGTTTGTTGTATGGGGTGGGTCCGGAACGAAGGGTGCACAGCCGCTAAACATAATACCCTGTTAATGAAAATATCTGTCATTACTAAAATGGTATTTTAAGACACGTCATTCGAGGAAAAAAAACCTATCAAAAGCAAATGATATTTCTGAGATAAGTACTGGCTATTTTGAATAGAAAGGTGATCAGAAATTGGGAAAGCTGATAGAAAATAAGGGTTATCACTCAGCGAAATTTTATTAGAAAATACTATCAACCAAAACGAGGACTAATCTGCTTTATAAAAATATAAAAACGAATAACAAAATGAACGTTGCGGCTAGAAAACCTTCATCGGCATAATCACAATCGGTCAATAATACAAACACAAATAAATTAATTAACTAATTTGAGACCAAATCTCCATAAAATGATTGAGCGGTAGACACATCCTGTTGTCTGCAGATAAGAAAGGGACCCATAGAGGTGGGACACAACTAAATAGGTGGTTACAGCAATTGACGTAATTCAAAATGAGTTTCTATGAAACTCTCTTGGACATTAAAGCTCAAGCTAAAAAACTTGATAGACGGATACTATGATTCTTGAGAGAGACTTGCAGGCTCTCTCGTAGAACTTAGTTCGGTTGTTTTGTGCAGCCTCCAACCTACAGTATATGTCAGCGAGGAACTGAAAAAGTACCCCGTGTGGGTTCCTGGGCCCTATCATAGGGAAAACAAGAATAGATCCACTATCTACCCAAAAACATGTCATAAGAGTCGACTAACTGGGAGCTTCCTTCAAAGTCAGAGTGCATCTGCCTGAGAAGTAAGAAACCAACAGTCTGCATACAAAGTAGTGAGATCTGTCACACGTAAGCACACGCAACACTCAGGTTATGGAACAGGACTGCAGTCCAGAAGTGGACGAACAGCCAGAACTTTCCACCGGAGTTTACAGCCGGTCATTGCAAAGAAGAAGAACTGAAAAAGTGAAAGCCAGAAGGCCACACTGTTTTTCCTTGTCTCACTTTGTCTCTCTTCTATATACTTACTGTCCTGTCAAGACTTGAGGTTAATAAATAGTCTTCGGGCCCCAGTATAACGGTTGCGAAGTTCATCGAGGTTTCTAGACTGTAAACCTGTTTGATTTTCATCCTTGAAGTGGTAATCCTACAGTCTTACCCGCATAGGACTGCAAGCAGATGTCTTCAAAGAAACTGATTTTTTTTTCTACCGTACATCGGGATTGACTCTATATAGCTTTTATCAGCCCTCTTTCTCACTTCAGGTGATACATAAAGAATGGGTAGAATATACTTCAAATGCTGTTTTTGCATGATCGGATCTTACTTCTTTAATATTATCTGGACACATAGGCGCTTAAACATATCGACTTGCTGTAGGAAAAAGTGAATACAGTGCAATTTTGAAAGCCGAAACATGGGGAATAGAAAGCATGCGCCCAGATAGAGCCAGATGCTTCAGCCAAAGTTTGTGCTAAAGAAGTACTAAATACAGCATAAAACTGTGACTGATAAACTCTCCGGACAAGCCAAAGAGACAAAGTCGATTTGAAATCATAAATCCTTAAATAATACAATATCGATACAATGTACAAAATTAAGGAACAAAAAGTACGACTAGTTTTAGTCTGATCTAATTTACATTATTGTTGCCTTTAGAGAACAGCTTTCTCAGTAATAACAATTTTTTTTTTTAATTCAAACTAAGACCATTGTGTTTGATTTCTCCACCCTTATACCTCTTGTTTAAAGTATGCGATAAGATCGACTTCGTTGTCTCCTTTATCATTCCGTGTATCTATTTCCAGCAATGGCGGTTTTATCTGACCAATTTGGGAATTAACTAAAATGTATCTATCATCAGCCGTGATACTAACGATGCAATCTCTGTCATAGATCATCACTAAAAATAAATATGATAATACGTTTGAAACTTCATGCTTCATCGCAGACCTTTAGGAAACTCCAAACATTGTCCTCACAACTTTCAGAGCACAAGATAAACGTCTTAACGACTCTGTCACAGAGATTTCCGTTTTTTGTTGGTACCTCCCTGTCTTTTCAGACGATCTGGTTAAACTGTGTTATAGAGAGATATGGGAATCAAAGCCCATAGTGATAGACCAATGAATGCCATGGGTAAATTCTCTATAGTTCAAGCCTGGATAGTACTGTAGAGACCATGTGTTGTCCATGCAGCATACCCCTCCCTCCCTCACTTCCTTGACCTGCCTTGTTCAATGGAAAAGAAAAAGTAGCACCAATACTGCAGACTTTTGTAGATTATGTGGATGTATAGCCACACATTCACAGCTGAGTCACATGATAAGAGATCACTGAAATTACCCGGGTACTTACTTTAGCGAACAGACCCTTTCCTAAAGGAGAGACACTTAGCACTGAGCTACTCATGGCGCCCGCTGACTCTCCGGACAGTGTTACGTCATTAGGGTCACCTCCAAAAGCTCTAATATTGTCCCTGACCCAGTGCAAAGCTAGCAGCTGATCCCAGTGACCCATGTTTCCTGGCAGCAGACTGGAGTTCCCACGTAAGAATCCAAACCAGTTAAGTCTGTAGTTTAGAGTCACAACAATGATGTCTCCCTGCGGAAGTGACCAAACTGAATCATTTTCCAGAAAGAAAGAAAACTACCTCCAAGAGTCATAACGTTAATGTTTTGTTTTTTTTTGTTTTTTTTTTAAGCGTTGTTTGTTGTTGAAGTTAAGGTTTTGTTGATTTTGTTGCTGTTTTTGTTTTTGATGTATTTTCCTGGTGTTGTTCTTAATGTTGTCTTTTTCTTCTTCGCGTTCACCGGCAGTAAACTCTAGAGGAAAGTTGTGGTTTATTTATACACCTTTGGATTTTAGCCTTGTTCCTAAAGTTAGGTGTTGCGTGCAGATTCGCTACACATATTAACTTATGTATATGCAGACTGTTGGTTCCATGCTTCTCGGGCAGATGCGCTCGAAGAAAGCCCCCAAATAGTCGACTCTTACGACATGCCTGTTTGGGAGGCAGTGGGTCGATTCTTATTTTTCCTGGAATGGGGCTATGAACCCAGAGGGGGATTCTTGTTATCATGCTGTTGTTCTTCTCTGAGGAGCGATGGTTAAAAGTTTAGAACACTAAACTCTTATTTGGAAAGATATAAAACTGAACAAAAAATAGATCAGCGAGCTTCACAATATAATAAACACAAACGAAACGTGAACGTTTCTTCATTAGCACCTACATTAATTTCACATAAACTCTTATTCTGAAGACCCTGATTCAAATCATTGGTAAATGGACGAAAGTACTTTCTATAAGGGAAAAATATGAACATTCTAGCCTACACAGTTCGTGGCGACTGCACTAGCCATGCAGACATAAATCCTCAGCCTCAAAATGCGCGTATGAACTGTTTTCTCTCTCTCTCTCTCTCTCTCTCTCTCTCTCTCTCTCTCTCTCTCTCTCTCTCTCTCTCTCTCTCTCTCTCTCTCTCTTTGCAGAACTGCTAGTTGACCGTTGCACAAATCACGAACTCAGCAGCTCCAGTGACAATCCCATAGATCTCTGTAAAGGTTGTAATGATCAACGGTGCGATGCCGTGTGTAAAATGAACCCATGGTTTTCAAAGTGCCAGCAAACGGCCTGGCTACGTTACCACGGAAAGCGACCCCACCCCCCATCCGTACCACGTTTTATCTTTAGCATTTGCCCTTCAGGACTTTCTAAACCTGCAATTACAGGGATGTGTTATGGCATCTCTCCTCTTCAACCTTGTGATTTATTGGATACTAAAGAACACGGAAGACAAGAAATTGAGAGGCATACGATGGACTCCATTCACCATGTTTGAGGACCTTAATTTTGCAGATGATGTAGCACTCCTATCACATAAACATGAACATATACAAGAGAAAAGTAACAGACTACACAGCACAGCAGAAATGGTGGGACTGAGAATAAATACAAAGAAAACTAAGATCATGACAAGCAGTCCAAACCAACAACCAGTGACCATAAATAACCAAACTCTTGAAAATGTAGAACATTTCACATATCTTGGCAGTGTGGTGTCCCTGCCGGGAGGGACCGAAAAGGACATACAGTCACGTCTGAACAAAGCTAGAGCTGCTTTTGGAAGGATGAGGCAAATCTGGAAATCCAACAATTACTGCAGAGGAACGAAACTCCGACTCTACAAGAGCATCATTTTGCTAGTTCTTCTTTATGAAGCGGAATGCTGGAGAATGACCAAAAAGAATGAACACAAGCTGTCCACCTTCCACCACACATGTCTACGTAGAATTATCAAAATTTTCTGGACAGATACAATCTCAAACACTAAACTACTTCAAGTCACAAACCAAGAAACTTTAGACAATATGATAACCAAGAGAAGATGGAAATGGCTTGGCCATGTTATGAGAATGAATCCTGATATACCCGCCAAAACAGCTCTCACATGGACACGAGAGGGAAAGAGTAAACAGGGGCTCCCAAAAACAACATGGAGACGAACGATGGAAAGTGATCTGAGTGAGGCATCTTTGACATGGAAAACTGCACTGAAGATTGCGCAGGACAGGAAAACATGGAAAGTCATCTCTGAAGCCTCATGTGCCACTAGGCATAACAAGAACTGATGATGATGACATAATAGAAGTCTTACCCTGGTCACCAGATCGCCGGGTAGATATCGGTTGGATGATCCCATAACGTGTGCTCCTCCGTGTAGAAAGACTAGAACTTTCTTCAAATCGCCCTTGTCCCTCTCCTATGATTACAAAACAAACAAGCTAACAAAACAAAAACATGTCAAGGACCATTTTCTCTTCAATGGCGCATTGGATGTCACGCTAGACTAATCATTTGTTATAGACCGATCTGTCATCACCGGGCGACCGGATCGACATCGCCGGTTGCCCTATCTTCCCATGACATTTCCTTATAAAGAACAATGAAGTTCCAGTACTTCCCTTCCACGGTACTTCAATTGTATACGAGTACATCTCGTCGGCTTCGAGATTTCGTGATGAATTCCTAGGGACTGCTAGGGATTTGCCTGGACAGTATCACATTATAGGTGGTTTTGGGTTAGGGCTAGTGTCAATTGAACAGCGACTACAACTAAGCTTAACCCTAACACCCCTATACTATAGGACGTTAGGAATTTTCCCTACCAAATCTCAAAGCCGACGAGATTTGGTCGTATAAATTTAAAGTACCCAGTCGATTAACTAGACTTCCTTCAGCATGCACCTAGAGCGCTGCAATACAATTTCCGTGAAGAGGTTTGGGACACAAGACTTTACGCAAACTTCTCTCTGATAAATGAATCTCTTGTCAAGGCTTAGACAATTCAAATACCAGCTCATAATCATGTATTTCTTTTTTTAAAAACAGATGTGCCGCTACTCACGAGAAAGCGTTGAAAAAGGTGCTGGTACTCACCACACACTTCGTAATGCCGGGGTGCCTGGTTCGATCCCAGCTGCGGGCCATGCGCCTTGCGTTGGTTTCGACAGTGGTATCAAGAAGCCGACCGTCTAGAAAGCAATGGCAAACTACTGGACGTAAATTTGCCTAGAGAAACTAGACAACAGCCAGGGGCTGCTGGGAATGGTTCTGCAATGTCCTGTAAAGGATACGCAACTAACCTAACTCACCACACAATATGTCTATCACAGTAGCGCTGAAAAAATATTACTTATATCAAAATGTGCCGGTACTCCGCAGGAGAAAACCCGGCTCATAACTATGTTGGAAATGTGTCCTAGCGCCTTTAAAGAAACGTTTACCCATTAACTAGCAGCAACAAAACTGATCATTCTTGAAGAAAGTAGAGCTGGCCAACTCTAACACACGCGCGTGCGCGCTCGCACATACACACCTACCCACGCGCGCCCTCACACAAATACACACACACACCCACACACACACACACACTCACACACACACACACACTCACACACACACACTCACACACACAGACACACTCACACACACACTACACTCACACACACACACACACACTCCACACACACTCACAAACAGACACACACACTCACACACAAAGACACACACAGACACACTCACACACACACTCACACACAGACACGCACACACACACACACACTCACACACAGACACACACACACACTCACACACACTCACACACACTCACACACACTCACACACACACACACTCACACACACACACACTCACACATACTCACACACACCCACACACACACTCATACACACACTCACATAATGACGTATGTCGATATTAACACTATGGATAGAATACCTGTATCTGCATTAATTTTCAAAAAAAGGGTACAGCCATACACATACATTAAAAGCTATTAACCCGGGATGTGAACTCAGCTGAGACCTGGTTGTCTGTACACTTGCGCGAACATACGTTTTGCTGGCTTATTTGTATGCAGCGCATTGTTTCTTGCCTCTGGAGCAGATGTAATTCGAAGGGAGAATCGACCCTAGCTCTGGGATGACTTTAGTCATTGTTTCGTGGGACATGACGTCCTTTTTTTGCGATATGACTGGCCACTTTCTGTGAAGCTATTGTCCCCAGTGAACGCATTTGCTGCAGCTGTGTGTAGGCTGGTCGGCCCTCAAGTGACTGTGCGACGTTCAGGCCGACGAGGATCTCAGAAAGAGTGATTAAAATCCCAGTGACACAAAGTGCCACCATTCGGATGAGAATCCCATAGTCCCAGAAACCCCGTTCAACCGTTATGTTATATTAGGGCATCTGGCCCGGCTCTCTAGTGTAGTTGGTTAAACCTGACATAGCGGTGACCGGGTGGCTCTTTGTGGTCTGGGTTCACTTCCGGGTGTAGGCAGAAAAGCCGCATTTCTCCCAAATTTACGGTACCTATCATGGAATCAAGACTGAAGGGTTGCGATATCCATAGTACCGAGCTAAAGGGTTAAGAACTCATGGTTTCTTGATATTTAAAAAAATTCAGGGCATCTAAAGACAACCAGTGTCAGGTTTTAAAATAACAAGGGAAGCTTGGCGCAGAGTATGGACATCCCCAGTCATCAAAGGAAGCTTCCATAAATACAGAGCGACACATGACTCTCTGGTCCTGGACTCAGCCAAGGAATGGTCACATCCTTGCACATGGGTGCTAAACATCACATCTGTATGTTCAGCGTGGGCTGCACACTTATGAGATCGAGAAAACAAAACTACAGATCCGAGACATCGTTAACCACACAGATAGGCTAAATCTTTCTCTGCATGTAAGACACCCTTAACGTTGAACCAGGACCCTTAGGACACCGGCATAGTAAAGGCTTGCATCAGGCATGGCTTCCCAACACTCCGACGAGTGGAACCAGTGACATTTGAACCCATGTGTCAGACAGTAGGACAGCTGACGGCTGGACATTTGAACCTTGTCTACCACTCATTAGGACGGTTGATGGTGAGACTTATAAACCTTGTAACACAGTATTACATTTGAAGGTAGGCTCTATAAAACTTTGCTGTTATGCTGAATCACGCGTGACTTTGGGTCGTTTGAGCCTAATTACCAGTTCACTGGGACTTTCAGTCGACAGCCGTTTGAAAGTGTTTGGCAAATAGTAGGACATTCGGCAAGCATGCTTTACTTATGTTTCCGATTGACGTTATCATACATATACTGAGGATGGGCTGAAGAGAACCAGGGGCTTTCTCGGCACTGAATCTCCGGGACCACCAAATCTCCTGTCAGCTCGGTTACGGCCGTTATCAGTAGTGCACCACGAGGAGGTGTGGCAGGAGCTTTATATAAGGAACCGTAAAAGGCTGTACCCCATCCGGACATAAACAACCGGTAACACAAAGTGCCACCATGCGATTGAGGATCAACCATGGAGAGGTCCCAAAAACCCCGTTCAGCCGTGAGGCTATATTTTTATACAGTGACCTCGCACTGGGCTGAGGAGAGACGAAGCGTACACAGTAAGAATCTTCGCCGTCGTGGAAGGCGCAAGAGGCCTTATCTCCGCTTCTATGTACAGTGTGATTAAGCAATTTTGCTTGAGAGGAAACGAGCAGTAAAACAACTGGGTGAGGGAGGCAGCTGAGAGGGTCTTGAGCTTTGGGCACAACGGAACGTCGTGGGTGACAGGCTCGGTTGGCTGGTTCGGGTGTCTAGTCGAAAAGAAAGTCCTATCCCTAAAGTCCATAGTGTCCGAATTGTCTGGCAGTGTCCCTCTGTCATTTGTATTTGAAGTCCAACATGTGTCCGATAAACAAACCGTAAGCTTGACGCTTGGTTGTCCAGGTACGCCGACTGGTCTCATAGGCTACTGCAGCGATTATAAATAAACTTCGAATCTCACAGTACCTGTGCATAGTCACAAATTTCGTCTTGTCCCTGTCCAAGAACATCCGGTAATACGTGCAGCAGGAGCAGATCAAGCCTGAGCTTTGAGGACTCAGGTGGGCTCACCCTCTGAAGTTGTCTAGGAGCTCGTGGGCTGAAACATCTGTCGACGAAGAATCACTTCTACTGATGACTAACAGACTCCTGCTGTACATGCTCCCCTGTGGAGTTTCTTCTTATATGACCCGGCTATATTCAGGGCCCCCTGCATAAGCCTGGGTGAGGCTTCAAATAACAAAAAAACTGCATCCCACATGGAGACGACTATTAATATTAGAGCCGTAGAAAAAGCACAGAGCCCGATGGCTCCAGCGGTAAGATAATCTTATAAATTGTAAATCTCTGGCGTCTCTGACCGAAACCAGCTTCCCACTGTAATCAGCGAGTGATTTGATTGGTCTCATGCCTTTACTTTCAAGGACACTTCCTGGTAAACACGATTTTCACTCCTTATCCTAGTTCAACTAAAAAAAAAAAAACATTTCCTAAAAACCCGGTTCGGGCGAGGAAATGAACAGTTTCTACCTTGCAAGGGAGTTAACCATTCTGTTACTGCGATTAGCACAACAGATTCTTCCTCTTCTTCTTCTTCCGTGATCAACCTTATAACGGTGTTTACGGCGTCGTGTTGTGTTTACAATCATGCTGCGACATTTGCGTCTTTCAGCCCAACACATCTCCTGTTTGTTAAACCTTAATTAGTCGCCAGTTAAAACTAGCTAATGCCCTAATAACATCTTACCTTGTGACTGATGGGCGTGTACACATTAATAAACAGGCAGTCCTCTTGTCCGATAATCTTCCCGTCCTGGTTTTGAAAACACACTGACCCAAACTCTGTAGTGTTACGAATTTCCTGGAAAAACACGGATACTTTTATCTCTTTCAATCCTGAACTTCAAACGAAACATTTTTTTTTTCAATGCCAAACTTCAAACAATACTTTTATCTTTTTTTTTTCAATACTAAACTTCAAACGATACTTTCATCTTTTTCAATGCCAAACGCGAACAATACTTTTATCTTTTTCAATGTGAAACTTAAAACAATACTTTTATCTTTTTCAACACTAAACTTCAAACGATACTAACATCTTTTTCTATGCTAAACTTTAAACGATACTTTTATTTCTTTCAATGCTAAACTTTAAAGGATACATTAATCTTTTCTTTTAGAAGGATATATGTGTAGCGCCCTGCTGGAGATACGGTGAATGGTGACAGAAATTGTTAGGAATGCTGTCCCACCTGTTTACAACAATTTGGTAAAGTTTTGTATTATATTCCCGAGTCGTAGATTCTGGAAAGATTGTTCGGCTTTAAAATTTTAAAATAGACGCCAAAATTTTGGGTAATCTGACTTATATACTATTTCGAAAAGTAACCAACATGTTATCTACTATTTTAAAAGGAATGCATCTTAGCATTCAGTCACTATTTGGTAATCTTGAAGATTAAATGTACACATACTAAATACAATTTCAAAAAGTAATCATAGGTCTACTTTCTGGAGGTTCGTAAAGTAATCAAATGTCTAATTTCTAAAGGCTCGTAAAGTAATTATGCGACTACTTTCAAAGGTTCGTACAGTAATTATACATCTGTTTTCTAAATGTTGGAAAAGTAATCAAATGTCTAATTTCTAAAGTTTCGTAAAGTAATCATACGTTTAATTTCTAAAAGCTCGTAAAACAATTAAACATCTACTTTCTAAAGTAATCATACGTCTAATTTAAAAGGTTTGTAAATTTATCATACATCTACCTTCTAATGGTTCGTTATGTAATCATACATCACTTTCTAATGGTTCTAAAAGTAATCATACCTATTATTTCTAAAGGCTAGTAAAGTAATTATGCATCTACTTTCTAAAGTTTCGACAGTTTAGCATACATCAAATTTCTAAAGGTTCGAAAAGTGATCATATATCTACTTTTTTTTCTAATTTGTAATAAAGCTCCCTGTGTGAGTTCTACAGCCACATTGTGGGAACAGGAATAGACCCATTGCCTTCTCATGAAGCATGTCGTTAGAGTCAACTGGGTACTACATTAGAAGTCGGAGAGCATTTGCCTACGAGGCAAGGAACCAACAGTCTGCATAAAAATAAGCCCGGTCTGTTAAACTGATGTGCACTCAATACTCCGGTTCTAGAACAAGGCTTATTTTTCTTTTGCCCCTCGACAGAAAATAATTCCCAAACCTTACAGTGGATTCGAACCCATATCCACAGCAAAAGGTCTCTCTACACCGCCCATTCTAAACTTGATCCTTTTTCAGCAGTCCGAAAACCTGCTATGTGAAGGAAGGTTCCTTGGCTGTCTTATCTGGTTTCCTTTTCTTTGTGGTGTGAAGTCACACCTGATATTACTGTTCTTTGTCCTCCTCGGTGGTACTTGGCGTTCTTGGTCTGGTCTGGTCCAGCTCTTTTAGCTTCAGTTTCTGTGGGCTTTTGCTGATTTTTGCTGGTGCTTGGTTCAACTCGTGCTAGTGGCTGCGCTGGTGCCCTATTGCCTGCTGGATTACCGCTCTGTGAAGCCGCGTGAAAAAGCTAAGCTAACACCCGTAGCACCGTCTCCAATAATTTATCTTTTCAGGACAACTAGGGCCGTCGTAATCTGTTGTGATCAGACCGTTTTTTATACGCGTTTGTACAGAGGGTCTTAAATTTTATTTACCTCAATGACCGGATGACGAACTGGCAAGGCAAATCTCCGATGGCCTGTTGGTGGTAAGGCATAGGGTATTCCCCGGTAGGACTGGTACTCATGGCCGCTGTGTGAGGTCAGAACTTTACCACGGAATGTCCCAGCGGGGGTTCGAATCTCTGGCTCAGATGTTCCGACACTGACACAACACAGTACTACAGCCACCAGGAGTGAAGAGAGGCGATGATGTACTGTCATATCGGGATATGGTTGAACCATGCAAAACTTTTGCTTCTTGTTTCTCGCTCAGCTGCTGCGGTTCAGACACTTATTTATACTTCTGCAATTTGTATTGACACGAGAAAAATGTATGTTAGAATGTAAGGTGCTTTATTAATATCGTACCCCAAATAGGGGAAACCCACAGGTCACGGGACAGTCTAATATTTCAGGGGGTGGTACCTAGGCTGCACTCTCTCGTGGGACATAGGTGGATTGGGATTAGGGCAAGTTCTAGATGTTTTGGTGTCGTTAAAAGTATCAGAAAGCCAGGAAACCCAGTCTTACCACCCTAAAAGATCTTGGATTCTCCTGTGACGTCATCTGGGGTAGGATATTATTAAAGCACCGAATTAATGTTACCGTTTCCAAGATGTATAAAACAATGGTAAGTTCATTTCTATACACACTTCATCCCATCATAATTTATAATGTTTTCCGTTTATTATTCTTTTTCTTCTTCTAGTCCTCCTTCTCCTTCTCGTCATACTTCTTCTTCTTTTTCTTCTTCTTGTTCTTCTTCTTCTTCTTGTTCTTCTTCTTCTTCTTCTTCTTCTTCTTCTTCTTCTTCTTCTTCTATTTCTTCTTCTTCTTCTTCTTCTTCTCTTCTGTTTCTTCTTCTTCTCTTCTTATTCTTTATCTTCTTCTTCTTTTTATCTTTTTCTTCTTTTTCTTCTTCTTGTTCTATTCTCCTTCGTCGTCTTCTTCTTGTTCTTTGTCTGCTTCTAAATATTAGAAGCATCGTGAAAGATGTCAGCTCATAGGCTACAATTTTCTTTTATTTTTTCTATCTAAAATGTGTACCGGGAAAAGTGCTGAAAGGTCAAACAAAATTTAAAAAACACAAAACAGTGATGATGACTACATTCTAGATTCTTCTTCTTAATCGTTCGTCCGAGTGAGCTAAATGCGCTAATGCTCTATTCTTGTTTACAGCACAGCTGCGATATTTTAGCCTTTGGTCGACACATCCGACTTCTGCGGACATTTGTTGTCTGGGTTAACGTACTCTGAGATTTGGTAGAGAAATTCCCTGAACATCCTGCAGTATAGGGGTGTTAGGGTTAGGGCTAGTTTTTAATGAATAGCGACTACAACAAAGCCTAACCCTAACCCCCCACCCCCCCCCCCACCCCCTATTCTATAGGGCTTTCTGTGAATTTCCCTACAAAATCTCAAAGCCGACGAGATCTGGTGGCATAAATTTAAAATACCCAGCTCACTAACAGAACATCTTTTAACATGCACGTAGAGCGCTGCAATTCAATTTCCGTGAAGAGGGTGTTTTGGGGCATGGGTCTTTAAATAATCTTTTCTCTGATAGAGGAATATTTGTCAAGGCTTAGACAATACGATTGCCAGCTCATAATCAGCTTTTTTTTTTTAAAAACAAACAGATGTACCGCTACTCACGAGAAAGGTGCTGGTACTCACCAAACAATATAGAGCTAAAAAACAAAAGTAGTCATATAAAAAGGTGACGGTACTTCGAACCGTTGCCTGCCGCACTGTTCAGCAACTCGTCGATTTTGATTTAATCTGGCTTAAAAATGACAAAGGGGCCACATGAACAGCTTTTAGTCTTAGACAGTAAAATGGGGGAAAATCTAGACACTGGGTATAAATAGGCAAAAAATTCAGTATTCTCCAATTTGACTTCCGGACACACCCCGTGGAGACCTGCCCTGCTGTTGTAGCTCTGTACCTGGGGCTCACCAGCATGGGTGTAGGCGACTACAAGGGGAAAGGCTGTTGTCTGACTGATTTCCCTGGCTGATCTCACGGTACGTTTCAATTGGTTAGGTGGTGGTAGATTTGATTTCCATTGTGTATTCTCGCTATGAGGTAGTTTGATGGCAGGTGGCTATAATTGATTTGTTGGCATACTGAAGCTTACACGTTAAATATGTTTCGGTTTTTGTCATTGTTGAGGTAATCTCGCTGAGCGTATGGTGTCATCATATTTCCTTGTTGTAGATGATTACTTTAGATTCTGGTCGAGCACGTTGGTTGCCGTTAATGTTATTTTTGGACCACGCTGATGTTATGAAAAGTAAAATAAACAGGTGTTCAATGTGATTAAAATTCATTTGCTTGATTTAATTTAGGATCTGCAGTCCGTGGTTCGTCTAGGTGTGAGTACCCATGAAGTGAGGTCGTCGTCATGTAATTCACTATACAAATATTCATAGTTAGGGTACTGATGAAATATTCTAGGATCTCTGAGCAGAAGAAACCTTGCATTTTCTTTACTTTCCTGTTTTTGCTGTTTAGCGGGAAACTCTTACTTTTGTTCTAATCACAACATTTGCCTCCTTTATCTCCATTCTTCTGTGTTTCTCCTCCTTCTTTCTTCCCGCTCGCACACTTGCCTCTCAGGCAGATGCTCTACGACTATGAAAGAAGCTCCCAATAGGTCGACTCTTACGACATGCTTTTGGGTAGGCAGTGGGTCTGTTCTGGTTTTTCCTATAACAGAGCCCTGGAACCCATACAGGGAACTATTGACAATGTGTCCTATTACCTACCAGAAGGTTCACCCATTAACTTGCACACAAAAAATATATCATTCTAAAAGAAAGTAGAGCTAGTCAACTTCTAACATACACGCGCTGGTAAGCTCACACATACACACCTATCCACGCAGGCACTCACACGTATATATATATATATATATACACACACACACACACATAATGATGTATGTTGAAATTAACACCGTGGCTAGAAAACCTTTACCAGCATTTGTTTTTTACAGGGGGCACATACATACAAATACATACTAGTTCAGGACCGTATTAAAGACTATGTGCAAGTTCACCGGCTATTAATCCCGTATGTGAACTCAGCTGAAAGGCCTGGTTGTCTGTACACTTGCGTGTACATCCGTTTTGCTGGCTTATTTGTATGCAGCGCATTGTGCCTTGCCTCCGGGGGAGATGTACTTCGAAGGGAGACATCGACCCCATCTTTAGGATGACTAGTCATTGTTTCGTGCGACATGGCGTCCTTACTTCTGATATGTCCCCTTTATCTGTTTTCATAAAGATATTCTTCCTAAAGATCGTCTCCGCTGATGAGAACCAGATGTTGTCTTGACAATGCTTCTCATAAAGCTGTTTAATTTCCCTCGCGTCCCTGGCCAAGACCAGCTTACTACTGTAATCAGTGAGTGGTGTGATCAGTCTATGACTTTAGTTTCAAGGACATTCTCTGGTCAACTAATAAACATTTCCAAAACAAAACCGGCTGGGGAAAGGTAATGAACCGAGTTTTTACAGTGCAAGGGATTCAACCATTGTGGTACTGCAATTAGCACAACAATGATTACATTCTCCTTCTTCTTCTCCTTCTTCTTTTTTTTTTCTTTTCCTTTTCCTTCTCCTTCTCTTTATCCTGTTCCTTCTCCTCCTTCTCCTTCTTCTTCTTCTTCTCCTTCTTCTTCTTTTTTCTTTTCCTTTTCCTTCTCCTTCTCCTTCTCCTGTTCCTTCTCCTCCTTCTACTTCTCCTTCTCCTTCTTCTTCTTCTTCTTCTTCTTTTTTTTTTCCTTTTCCTTCTCCTTCTCCTTATCCTGTTCCTTATCCTCCTTCTTTTTTTTTCTTCTCCTTATTATGTTCCTTCTCCTCCTTCTCCTTCTACTTCTCCTTCTTCTCTTCTTCTTCTTCTTCTTCTTCTTCTTCTTCTTCTTCTTCTTCTTCTTCTTCTTCTTCTTCTTCTTCTCCTTCTCCTTCTTCTTCTCCTTTTTTCTTCTTCTTCTTCTTCTTCTCCTTTCTTCTTACGCTTCTTCTTCTTCTTCTTCTTCTTCTTCTCTTCTTCTTCTTCTTCTTCTTCTTCTCTTCTTCTTCTTCTTCTTCTTCTTCTTCTTCTTCTTCTGTGTTCAATCTTGAAACGGCGTTTAGCACACTGTGTCGTTGTTTATAATCATGCTGCGACATTGGCGTCTTTCGGCCCAACACATCTACTCAAGCACTTATAAGTCGCCTATTAAGACAAGCTAATGACTATACTTAAAGTCGTCCCCTTGTAGGATGCAATTTTTCGTTATTTTGAAGTCCCCACATTGCGTGTTGCCAGCGGCCGTAATATAACTTCCCGGCTGAGCGCGGTTTCTGGGACCTCTCCACAGGTGATCCTCATCCGCATGGCGGCACTTTGTGTTACCGGGTGTTTATTACTCTGTGTGATGTCCTGGTGGTTTAAAATTTACTTACTTACTAAGCTAATAGTCGGCTCTGTGGCTAATTCGATGCGAACGCTTCGTAATGCCGGGGTGCCGGGTTCGATACCCAGCTGCGGGCCATGCGCCTTGCGTTGGTTTCGACAGTGGTATCAGGGGGCCGACCGTCCAGTAAACAATGGCAAACTACTGGAGGTATTTTGCCTTGAAAAACCACACAACAGCCGAGGGCTGCTGGGGTTGGTTCTTGCAACATCCTGTAAAGGAAACGCAACTAACTAAGCTAATAACTTAATAACATCTCACCTTGTTACTTCTGGGCGTGTGCGCATTAATAAACAGCCAGTCCTCTTGTGGGATAATCTTCCTGTCCTGGTTTTGAAAACACACTGACCCAAACTCTGTAGCGTTACAAATCTTCTGGAAAAATACTGATATGTTTTTTAAACATCTCTTTGAGTTCTAAACTTTAAACGATGCTTTTATCTCTTTAAAGCTAAACTTCAAACTATACTTCTATCTCTTTCACTGACCATGCTCTCTAGCGAAGCTGGCTAAGCTGTGGTCCGGGTTCACAGCCGGGGGAAGGCAGAAAAGCCACATTTCTCCCAGATTTACTGTATCTATCATGGAATCAAAGCCGAAGGGTTGCAATATCCATAATACTGAGCCTAGGGGTTAACAACTCATGGCTTCTGGATACTTAAAAACAACATTCTCTTTCAGTGATAAACTTTAAAAGATACTTTCATCTCTTCTCCCAGTGTGATATATTTGTTGCGCCGTTCTGGAGATGCGGTGAATGGTGACATAAATTATTAGG